TAACCATTTTTGTACCTAATACAGTAGAAGCTCTCCTGAATTCTCACCACACACATTTCTCAGTCAGCCACCACAACTCCTATGAAGTCTTTTTGTTAACCACCCCTCACATTACTCTTTTATGTTGTAGTAATCTTAACCCTGCTACTCATTTTGTTGTTGTTGTTTCAATAAAAATTATATAAATTTAATGACTCTCAGGGAAGAATTAAAAACACCCCCATGTCCACGTATCAGCAGAACTCAATTTATACTTGTTATTCTTTTTTTTTAATTGAGGTATAATTGACATACAACATTATAATAGTTTCAGTTGTACAACATACACAATGATTCCATATTTGTATACATTGTGAAATGATCACCACAATAAGTCTAGTTAACATCCATCACCACACAGTTACACAATTTTTCTCTCGTCATGAGAACTTTAAGGATTTACTCTTAGCAACTTTCAATAGGCAATACAGTATTAATATAGTTGCCATGCTGTGTATTATATCCCCATGACTTATGTATTTTAGAATTGGAAGTTTGTATGTTTTCATCCCCCTTCACCCATTAACCTTGCTACTCTTCTTCCCTCCATTGCCAACAAAGTCCCTCACAATTTCTTTTTTTTTTAATTTATCTATTTATTTATATTTTATTTTTGGCTGCCTTGGGTCTTCGTTGCTGGGCGTTCCCTAGTTGCAGCGAGCGGGGGCTACTCTTCGTTGCGGTGTGCAGGCTTCTCATTGCGGTGGCTTCTCTTGTTGCAGAGCGTGGGCTCTAGGCGCGCGAACTTCAGCAGTTGCGGCACGTGGGCTGTACAGCGCAGGATCAGTAGTTGTGGCGCACGGGCTTAGTTGCTCCACGGCATGTGGGATCTTCCCGGATCAGGGCTTGAACCCTTGTCCCCTGCATTGGTAGGTGGATTCTTAACCACTGCACCACCAGGGAAGTCCCTCTCACAATTTCTTAATGCTGACAGATCATATTCTCACTCTTTGTGATGATCTAAAGGAAGTTCCTTTAGGTAACACTGACTTCTTGTGGTTCACTGCTGGTTCTTATTTTAAAGGTGACAATGGCAAACATTGTGCTAGGTATGCTACTGCAACTTCTTTTGATGGATTTTCCTACATTTGTAGGCAAATGGATTTCCTACAACTTCCTGTGTCTAATGGATATAAATATGTTTTAGTCATGATCTGTATGTTTTCACACTGCACTGAAGCCTTCCCTTGCAAGCAGGCTACTGCCTCTTCTGTGGCTAAATTCCATTTGGAAAAGGTTACCCCTACCTGGAGAACTCCTCTCAAACTTCATAGTGATTGAGGAACCTATTTTACTGGCCAGATACTTTGACAAGTTTGCACTCTTTGGCCAGTTTTACAACACTTTTACTGTGTTTACCACCCTCGATCCTCTGGTTTAGTTGAATGCACCAACAACACGATTAAGACTTATTTGGCAAAATTTGTAGAGGCCCTCCAAATACCTTAGCCAAAAGCATTGACACTGGTCCTTCTTATTTCAGATCCACCACTTCTGGAACTCATAAAGTCTCACCCTTTGAGATAGTACAGGATGCCCAATACACTTGGCTCCTGCTTCTTTTGACCCACAACTGATAAAAGGAGAGAAACTCCAGTACTGCAAAGGCCTAATTGTTTCTATTAAAAATAGCCATGCTTTGTTAGAGGAGTCTTTTCACAGTGGACTCTCAGGAGATGAAGACCTTAAGCATCACAAGTTGCAAAATGGAGATTTCATCTATAGCAAAAGACATCTCCAGAAGAACTCTCTTCAACCTTGTTGGAGAGGCCCCTATCAGGTACTGCTAACCAACCCTTGTGCTACTGAACCCCAAGGAAAAGACTCTTGGATTCATGTGACACACTTAAAGAAAGCACCGACTAATGAGAACCTACTGTATAGCACAGGGAACTCTACTCAGTGCTCTGTGGTGACCTAAATGGGAAGGAAATCCAAAAAAGAGGGGATGTATGTATACGTACAGCTAATTCACTTTGCTATATAGCAGAAAGTAACACAACATTGTAAAGCAACTATACTCCAATAAAAATTTATTTTAAAAAAAGAAAGAAAGAAAGCACCAAACCCTGACTGGACGTGTACATCATCTGGTGACCTAAAAGTAAAGATTTCCTGGAATTGAAGCAGATGACATCTGATGAGACAGCTTTTCCAAGATATCTGGATCAGGCCTATTGGAAGTTTGTCGCCAAAACTTTGATGGTGACACTATGCTTCAGATGATCTCCAATGTCTATTTTCTTGATAACATATGGACTTTAGATAAAAAGAAGTGCCTGAGTGGGGCTTCCCTGGTGGTGCAGTAGTTAAGAATCCACGTGCCAATGCAGGGGACATGGGTTCAAGCCCTGGTCCGGGAAGATCCCACATGCCACGGAGCAACTAATCCCGTGCACCACAACTAGTGAGCCTGCACTCTAGAGCCTGCGAGCCACAACTACTGAAGCCCACGCACCTAGAGCCTGTGCTCCGCAACAAGAGAAGCCACAGCTATGAAAAGCCCGTGCACTGCAACAAAGAGTAGCCCCCACTCGCCACAACTAGAGAAAGCCCACATGCAGCAATGAAGACCCAATGCAGCGAAATATAAAATAAATAAATTTATAAAAAGAACAAACCTGGAGGCATAACCCTCCCAGACTTCAGACAATACTACAAAGCTACAGTAATCAAAATAGCATGGTATTGGCACAAAAACAGACATATGGATCAATGGAACAAAATAGAGAGCCCAAAATAAACCCCACAAATTGTATGGTCAATTAATCTCCGACAAGGTAGCAAGAATATACAATGGAGAAAAGACAGTCTCTTCAGCAAGTAGTGATGGGAAAGTTGGACAGCTGCATGTAAATCAATGAAGTTAGAACACTCCCTCACACCATACGCAAAAACAAACTCAAAATAGCTTCAAGACTTAAATATAAGACTATAGGGACTTCCCTGGTGGCGCAGTGGTTAAAAATCCGCCTGCCAACGCGGGGGAGACAGGTTTGAGCCCTGGTCCAGGAAGATCCCACATGCTGCAGAGCAGCTAGGCCCATGAGCCACAACTGCTGAGCCTGCGCTCTAGAGCCCACAAGCCACAACAACTGAGCCCATGTGCTGCAACTACTGAAGCCCATACGCCTAGAGCTCGTGCTCTGCAATGGCACCTAGGAGCCACTGCAATGACAAGACTGCACCCTGCAACGAAGAGTAGCCCCCGCTCACTGCAACTAGAGACAGCCCGCGTGCAGCAAAGAAGACCCAATGCAGCCAAAAATAAAAATAAATTTTAAAGTAATTTAAAAAAAAGACTATCAATGATACCATAAAACTCCTAGAAGAGAACATAGGCAAAACATTCTCTGACATAAATCATAGCAACGTTTTCTTAGGTAAGTCTCCCAGGCGATAGAAATAAAAGCAAAAATAAACAAATGGGACCTAATCAAATTTACAAGCTTTTGCACAGCAAAGGAAACCAGGGGGAAAAGTTGGGGGAAGGGATAGTTAGGGAGTTTGGGATCAATATGTAAACACTGCTATATTTAAAATGGATAACCAACGAGGACCTACTGTATGGCACAGGGAACTCTGCTCAATATTACGTGGCAGCCTGAATGGGAGGGGAGTTTGGGGGAGAATGGATACATGTACAAGTATGGCTGAGTCTCTTTGCTGTGCATCTGAAACTATCATAACATTGTTAATTGGCTATACTCCAATATAAAATAAAAAGTTTTAAAAAAACATTAAGAAACTATTATAAATTAGAGTACAGGGACATGAAAATTAAATCAAAGTGTGATCCTGTATTGGATCAATTGAAATGGAATGGATAATTCTATGATCTATTTAACTATCTAAAGAATACTACTGAAAGTATTCTGAAATCAGAGAAAACAGGTGAAAAAATTAAAGTGAATAAAAAATTATGCAAATAAAAAAGCAAGGTAGGGAGTTCTCTGGTGGTTAGGATTCCAGGCTTTCACTGCCCAGGGTTCAATCCCTGGTCGGGGAACTGAGATCCCACAAGCCTCAGCATGGCTCAAAAAAAAAAAAAGAAAAAGCAAGGTAATAATTAACTCCAAGAAAAACAAAAAAAATCACATGCTAATAATGCAAACACTATTAATTTAACTGAAATGTGATAAAAATTATATTAGAAATATGGGGATAAAGGAAATGGTCAGGAAAGTGGTGTAAAAAGCTAAATTCTCATTTACCCTAACAGGAAGTTAATTGAGAATATCTAAAATTAATAAATCAAGAAAAACAGTATGAAGTATATTATTCAGAAATATAGCAGTAAGTACCAGAAAAAATAGCTAAAAGTCAAAAGCATTCACCTCTGAGGAACAGCAATGAAGGTGGCGAACTGTTTGTTGTGTTTTCATTTTTAAGCTTTTGAGTATTAACTGAATTTTTAACTATGTATGTGTATATTATTTTGATTTAAAAATTAAAAATCATTTCTTTTTAAATAAGGAAGAAATATATCCCAAAACAGCTGGCAAATAGGGAGGAGAAAACAAAATTAGACATTTATTAAAAGTACCAAAGTATAGACCCATTTCAAGTTAAGGATAAACAGACCCACATTTCTCAATAGTCCCTGAGCAATAGTTTATCACAGCATAGAACAGCTATTCATTTACATTAAAAAACAGCATCAAAACAAGCTAAATTGTTTCTGGTCTACTCTGTTTAATAGGGCAAGGAAGATTGATGCATTTTGGAAATACTATCATCAAAAAATGGTTAAAACAGTAAAGATTCATCACCTAAAGGCGTAAACTTTGGATATCTGGAATAAAAACCTATTGGTTCTCTGATGGTGCCAGATAAATGAGTTTAGGCAAGAAAGCTTATTGTTACAAAAAGTACAGATGATACATAAAGATTATTGGGACACTAACAATCAATTTCAGATTTTTGTCTTCTTCATTTCAAGAGCCACCAACCAGTTTTCTTTAGACTGCCTGGGCTGGTTTGGGCCAAGATCTAGTCAATATGTAGTCTGCCAGTGATGTAGGTAAATAAGATAGAGGGATGAAGAAAAATTTAGCATCCCAGCCAGCTGAGTATCGAGTGCGGGGATGCACAGATGTCAGGGCATGCTCCATACAGTCAGTAACCAGGTTCAGGTTTGTGCTACAACTCAACATCCCTTGTTTCAGGAGATCGTGATCTGTATACAAAAAGAAAAATGGTGGTCAGCAATCTTATTGCTTATATTTTTAAGATCCTGTTGCATGCAGTCACAGAAGTCTAATTACATTTAATTGCCACAAGGATTAGGCCAATCAGACCTGTGCTTCCCAATATAACAGCCACTAGCCACATGCAGCTAATGAGCACTTAAAATACAGCTAGCATGACTGAAAACTGAATTTTGGGGTGGTGGGAGGTGTTGCTGCGCAGCACAGCTTGTGGTATCTTAGTTCCTCGACCAGCGACTGAAGCCGGGCCCCAGCAGTGAAAGCACCAAGTCCTAACCACTGGACTGCCAGGGAATTCCCTGAAAACTGAATTTTTAAATTTAATTAATTTTAATTTTAAAACTCAATTCTGTTATTGGAAAACTTTTAAGTATGTTTGGAACAATATAGGTATGTGAATCTACTTGTTCAACTGGAAATTTTTTAACATCTTTATTGAGATCATTCACATTCATAAAAACCATCCATCTAAAGTATACAAATCAATGACTTTTAGTATATCCAGAGTTGTGCAACCATCACCACAATCTAAGTTTAGGACATTTTCATCATCCCAAAAAGAAACCCCATACCCATTAGCAATCACTCCCATTTCCTGCCAACCCATCCAGCCCTAGGCAACCACCAATCTACTTTCTGTCTCTGTGGCTTGCCTTTTCTGGACACTTCATGTAAATAGAATCATACATTGTGGTCTTTTGTGACTAGCTGCTTTCAGGGGCAAAACATTCTCAAGGTTCATCCTGTCATAGCATGGATCAGTACTTCATTTCTTTTAACTGCCAAGTAATATTCCATTGTAGGGCTATACCACATTTTGTTTACCCATTCAACAGTCGATGGACATTTGAATTGTTTCCACTCTGGGGCTCTTATGAATAATGCTGCTGGTAACCATAAATTGTATTAATCCAAATACAGAAGAAGTACCTCCTAGGACAATTGAGCATGCAAGTTGAGATGTGCTGTAAGTGTAAAATACACACCAATTTTCAAAGACTAATAGGAAAAAGAATATAAAATATCTCATTAATAGCTTTTATATTGATAATAAATGTTGAAATGATAGTATTTTGGATATATCGGTCTTAAATAAAATGTTTTATAAAAATTTATTTAACCTGTTTCTTTTCCTTTTTTAAAAAGTAGCTACTAGAAAATTTAAGATTACATATGTGGCTCTCATATATCTGTTGGACAGCACTGATCTAGATTATTCTGATCCATGGACAAGTATATGAACAATTTCAACTTCTGAAATCATGAAATACATATATCCCTCCTTTTACATATTGTCACTTCTTAGTAAATTCTATTTTCCTTTGATTTCTATTGCCAAACTACATGTACTCGCAAGGGGAAACGAAGTCCCTAATAGTTTAAAACGTTAGGTGGAGAAGAGCTTAGAACAATGGCTGTGCCCCTGACATTTTAGGAACTGTAGTTCTCTAGCTTGAGTTCTGAGAGGCTGAGGAAGTCTTCTGTCAGCTAGCTTTTCCTTGTTCCAATTTCTCTCCCCTTTGTTGATGATGACCCTCTTATGCCTGATGCACCCAGAAGACAGGGTTGTAGGTCGGGACTCTTCTGTCTGCACATCCCCCTTCTTCTTTTCTCTGTACCGCAATATCACCCAAAGCCAGAGACAGGGCTACTGCTACCCACCACGAGGCCTTTTTGTGAAAGGGAAAAGAGAGCTGCTCCCTTTGCCCTTGGCAAGCTGCTGACTTCTCTGTGTGAAGAAAAAGCATCCCTTCCCCCCAGGAAGGTACAGACCCACACAGTGTGCATGACTGAATTCTACTTAGAGGACTGCCTTCCCTGTTCCCCCAAAACTGCCTTCTCCTCCAGATCATCAGAATGGCATTCTTCTTCTTTTTTTTTTTGCGGTACGCGGGCCTCTCACTGTTGTGGCCTCTCCCGTTGCGGAGCACAGGCTCCAGACGCACAGGCTCAGCGGCCATGGCTCACGGGCCCAGCCGCTCCGTGGCATGTGGGAACCTCCCGGACCAGGGCACGAACCCGTGTCCCCTGCCTCAGCAGCCGGACTCTCAACCACTGCGCCACCAGGGAAGCCCAGAATGGCATTCTTACACGAAATTAAACCATCTTACTCCTACAAGGCTCCCAGGGCCTGCACATGAGGTCTAGCCTCTGGGAATGGCCAATAGGGCCCTGCAAATCCGGTCCTAACTCACTTACCTCTCCCCACCTATATATACCCTCCCTCCCCTCACAATAAAACGTGGAGTTTGTGGCTAGGCTGTTACCCAAAGGGTAGATAATATTGAAGGCTGAACTTTAGTTAAGCAGGCCCCCACACCAGTCCTGACAAACTGTGGAGGGCACCCCCTCCCAAGACCCAGAGGCTCCATGCCTCTAACCACGTAATACCTCCCTGGTGCGCAGGTGGCCAGGCTCACAGGTGACAAGGCAGGGCAGGCCCTGGCCCTAGGCTGCCTATATGGCCTCTTCCTCAGCCACAACAGCCATCACCAAGCCAACCATGAAGGCACTGGGACCTTCCTGAACCCCTCTTGTCCTGGGAAGGCTTTGTTTAAGGAGCTTTTTTCTCAGAAGATCTACCAATCATTCTCTACCAACCCTCTTTGTCCTTCTCATGCAAGGTTATCCATTATACCATCAAAAGAAAAGCTCACAGGCATCAAAAAACTTCTGTCCATAGGACTCCTTAATATGCACAGGGACTTCTTTCCAGACTTGTTTCACTGCCTCTGAGGACTTCTGCAAATCTGACATTCCTGTTCTGAAGTAGCCAGGTTCAATTATGCTGATTTTCACCCCAAAATGTTGAAGCTCACGCCTAGGGAAAAAAAATCCTCAAGTTAACTCCTCTGATTGAAAGATACCACAATTTCAATGTTCTCAGGGAAAAAACAAAACAAAACAAAAAATAGTTATAAAAACACCTTTACTGAATATTTTAAAGAATAAAGAAATGGAAAGGAAAAAAATAAAATTTTAAACATCCCTAGATGCAACAATTGGGACATGATTATACAAACCACCATAACCATTCAATCCCACACCCACTCATTTAACAGAGTCATTAAGTTCCTACCATGTGCTATACACTGGAAATATGAAAAATACAAGGAATAATAAAGAAAATTAGCATTTTTATGGCATCTACTGTGCTAAGTGTTTTACATGCACAATCTCAGTAAATTAAGACTCTGTTCACCACCCCAAAAAGCTCACAGTGGGTGAGTCTGACAAGTAAGCAAATAATTGCAATACAATTCAAAAGAATTTAAAGGAGAGGTATTCAAGGGGCTACATAAGTAGAGAGGAGGATGTAGATTTTCTGAGGGAGTCAGAGAAGGCTTCAGTGAGAAGAAAATGTTTCAGTTGAGCCTCGAAGGATAAAGAGGAAATTTCCCAGTGAGGAAAGAGGTGGAATGGAATACCAGGGAGCAGAAACTGCACACACAGAGCAGGGGGCTGTGCAAAATTACAGTGTGTTCAAAGACAGCAAGAGACCATTAGTGGAATATGATGTGGGCATTGAAATAACAGGCCATTGGTCATTCCAGAATATTCGGGTTAGTTCAAAAAACAGTTCCAAAAATACTTATCAGGAGCTGCGTATGTACCAGGCACTGTGCTAAGTGCTGCCTTCACCAAGTAAAGTAAGATGACATGGTGCACCATGTGAGAGGTATTCTCTCAGTACTCCAGGGACAGTGATGAGGGGTGCTCCCTGATCTAGAGGTTCAAGCAGCCTTGTTCGAGAAGATGAAGCCCAAGCTGATGTCAAGGAGAAATGTTTGGAACCATATGGTCCATAAGAATGTAAAACATAAAGCATCATGAGCCTCTAAAGCCATGAGTGGTTCTCAAAGTGTAGACCCCAGATCAACAGCATCAGCATCTGGGAGCTTCTTGGAAATGCAGATTATTGAGCCCCAGTCCAAACTTACAGTCAGAAACTCTGCGGGTGAGAACCAATAATCTGTTTGAACAAGCCCTTCAGGTGGCTCTGAGGCATGCTAAAAGTTAAGAACCACTGCTCTAAAGGAAAAGCCTCCCTTATCAAACCAAAACCTAAAACTTTCCAAGTCAGAGCTTCAGAAAATGACTCTCCAGGTGCCTGCGTGTGCTGGGGAAGAAGGAGGGGCTACGCAAGCCAGGGGTGCTTCAGCCCTCTACATTGCACTTCCCCTTGCAGCTTTCTCACAGATTCCCAACACGCCACAACATCTCCAGCCCCTCTAAAACTCCAGTTCAAATGTGGGACAAAACTTCCTTTTCCTGTTTAATCCTTAGCACAATTAAGGCAAACTGGAATTTTCTAAAGGAATTAGTGATTTAAAGGTTGGAAGGGTATATCTTTGTTCTTCCTCTGGGGATGAGTCAAGGAGTCCAAGAGTCAGGAGTGGTAGTAAATCAGCAGGCAGCAGCCCTGTGGAAATAGACAGGATGTTGGGTAGGCAGAAAGCCAGGCAAAGTGCCTGCCACATAGTAACAACTCATGTAGTGCCCACGGTTATTTCCCTATTCCCTTCCTAAGCAGATAATATATGCACAATGTGTTAGATATATACCAGTCATGGCATGTGGTAGGCTAAATAATGGCCCCCAAAGATATCAGGTCCTAATCCCCAGAACCTGTAAATGTTACCTTATGTGGTAAATATTTTGCAAGTTTGATTGAGTTAAGGATCTTGAGATAGGAAAACTGTGCCAGATTATCTGGGTGCATCCTAAATGCAATCACAACTATCCTTATAAAAGAGGCAGAGGTAGATCTGAAGACCAACAGAGGAAGAGAAGGCAGCATGATCATGAAAGCAGAGATTGGAAGTGATGTGGCCACAAGCCAAGGAATGCTGTCAGCCACCAGAAGCTGGAAGAGGCAAGTAATGAATTCTCTCCTAGAGGCTCTGGAAGGAACATGGCCCTGTCAACAACTGATTTTAGCCCAGTGATACTGATTTCAGACTTCTAGACTCCAGAACTGTGAGGGATAAATATGTGTTGTTGTAGGACACCATACACCATAAATTACTTGTGGTAATTTATTACAGCAGTCATAGGAAGCTAATACATGGTGCCTATAATATTTATAGCTCATTTCCAAGTGAAACTGCCCTAGAGTCAGCCCCTGCTAAAGGAGAGTCTGTGCAGCACTATTTTGTACCATGTGACTGCACCCTCATGTCTACAGCTGACTGGACCAGGAATGGTACTTGATGGGAGGGGAGCCCCTCTCAGGACTAGACAGTGACTCTGCCTGTTATTACCTATATGGCCTTGGCAAATTACTGAACCTCTGTGCCTCAGTTTCCCTAGACATAGTCAATACAATAAAGATAAAATAATTCCTTCCTCATTGGGTTGCCATGAAAATTAAATGATTTATTAGATGGAAAGTACTCACAACAGTGCCTGACACATAATAAGTGCAAAAAATATCACATGATGCGGTGTCACCCGGCACACAAAAAATGAACTCAGCCAGTAGGAATCTCTGTCTCAGAAATTAAAATATAAGGGGGACTATAATAAGAAGGAGCAGCTGATAGAGGGGCATGAAGCTGAAATGATGTATTTTAAAAAACCAGGAGGTAGAGGCCGGGCAATTAGGAATTGTGGCAAACTGAAGCTATAAGAAAGAAAAGAAGCTATTAGACAAAGAAAAGATATACAGAGTAAAGGGATGGAAAAAGTTAGTTAGAAGCTGATGAGCACCAGAAAGAGTCACTGTGAAGAAACGAGGACAGGTTTACTTTAAAGAGGAAAGAAGACAGTCATCCTCTCTCCAGAAATGAAATTTTCTTAAGGATAAATCTTGAGAGTTAAAATGTGATGTGGTGACAGTAGACAGAGACTTGGGGTCAAAACATAGGTCTGCCAAATCATGGTCGCTGCAGCTGAACTTTGAGAAAGATACCAAAATCTGAGCCTCAGTTTCCTGTATAAAACAGACTAGTTTTATACCTACACATCAGATTTTGGAAGTGATGAAATAAGATAATGCAGATGAGGGCTTCCCTGGTGGCGCAGTGGTTAAGAATCCACCTGCTGGGACTTCCCTGGTGGCGCAGTGGTTAAGAATCCGCCTGCCATTGCAGGGGACACGGGTTCGAGCCCTGGTCCAGGAAAATACCACATGCCACAGAGCAACTAAGCCCGTGCGCAACAACTATTGAGCCTGTGCTCTAGAGCCCGCAAGCCACAACTACTGAGCCCACGTGCCACAACTACTGAGGCCTGCGTGCCTAGAGCCTGTGCTCCGCAGCAAGAGAAGCCCTAGCAATGAGAAGCCCGCACACCGCAACGAAGAATAGCCCCCACTCGCCGCAACTAGAGAAAGCCTGCACGCAGCAACGAAGACCCAATGAAGCCAAAAATAAAATTGTTTTTAATTTTAAAAATTAAGAAAAAAGATCATGTAGGTGAAAGTGACTAGCATGGTGTCTAAGACATATTTAAGTGCTCAGTAGTTGCTTTTGTTTTAACTTGAGAGTTACCTCAGAATATCTGAAAAGGCTTCCACTCCATACTTGGTGGAAGAGTAGACTCCTCCAAAGAAAGCAATTCTTCCCAGAATGCTGGAGACATTGACAATCCTCCCCTGTGCTCTCCTTACCAAGGGAAGCATGCTCAAGGTCACCTCTATCAAACCAATGAGGTTCACTTTGAGGGTATCCATACAGGCCTCAATCTTCAGCCACTCAGTGTAGCCATGTGGGTGAAAAATGCCTGCATTGTTGACCAGACCCCAGAGCCCTGAAACAATAAAAATCAAAGCAGGAGTTCAGTTTCACACAAAAACGACAGACTTCTACCTTGATCAATCTTCGTGCTGAAGACAACTAAAAATGCTAGACAAAACATATTTTTTGAATCTTCTTAAACACATCTATCACTAAGAAGGTAAAGGAAGTTCAGGCCAAAAACTAAGAGAAGGCACAAATCCAGAGAGGATAAACAGAACCCTGACGCTAGCTTTTGATTCGAGGGAATTTGCCAACCAGTGTGAATTTGAACTTTAGTATTTATATCATCAAAAAACATATACAATAAGAAGACATGAAGCCCAGGGCCCAACCTAAGGTAGGGAGTCTAATAAAAGACACTTTCTGCATTAAACTGGAATCCTAAATGGCTACACTATCACTTTAGTGATAGAGATAGAAAGGACTTTCAAAGGACTGAAAGTAAAACTGCCTATCTTGAGCTCTGGTGTTGGGGGGAGGAGGGAAGAATCGGCCCCAAGGACCAAAAGAAAAGAAGATTTGGTGGGGATGAGAAAATACGAGTCCTTCCTCCTTTAGATTTGGTGAGTTTGAGGTTCCAGCAGAATTTCCAGATGAGAAAGCCAGCAAGCAGTTGGGAATTCAGGGAAGAAATAATTTAGAAATCAAGGACAAAAAGGTAATAGGTTAAACTATGGGTAACTAGGGTCCATTCAACATTTGTTGAGCCCTTAACATGTACCAGACAATATGTCGGAAACTGGAAATACAATAATGGGTAAGAGTGGTCCATGTCCTCAAGGAGCACACTCTCTTAACAGATGGGAAAACAATAAAAATAATAATAACAATACAGTAGAAATAAACCACTGTGCGCAGCACAGAGGCTATAACTACCCATAACACCTGACTCTAGAGTCAAGAACATCCTCAGGTAGGAGTAATATTTTAAAGTCAATTTTCTAATTTAAAGTAAATTAAAAAAAATTCTTCAATCCAAACAAAACAATTTTATTACTAGTTTGCAACTCCTAGGATGAATATATATTTAAGAGGTCCAATTATCAGGATCTACTGAATCATAAAACAAGTGGAGGAAAAAGAAGGGGATCAAAGAGGATTTGGATAATATCCAGAGAAAATGAAACTTAGAAAAGAGGATTTATCCATAATTGTCAAAAATTAAAACCAACCAAGATGTCCTTCAGTAAGTGAATGGATAAGCAAACTGTGGTACATACAATGGAATATTATTCGGTGATAAAATGAAATGAGCTATCAAGCCACAGAATAACATGGAGGGACATTAAATGCATATTGTTAAATGAAAGAAGCCAGTCTAAAAGACTTCATACAATATGATTCCAACTACATGACATTTGGGAAAAGGCAAAACTATGGAAACAGTAAAAAGCTATGTAGTTGCCGGGGTTTGGGGGGAGGTGGGGAGAGCAGAGGAGATGAATAGGTGGAGCACAGAGGATTTTTAGGGCACTGAAATTATTCTTCATTATATTGAACTATAACGGTAGATACAGGATATTTTACACTTGGCAAAACCCATAGAACCGTACAACACAAAGTGGATCCTAATGTAAACTATGGACTTTAGTTAATGATAATGTATCAATATTGGTTTATCAATGTAATAAATGTATTACACCAATGCAAGATATTAATAACAGGAGAAACTGTAAGAGGGGGATTGTATATGGGAACTCTGTACTTTTCAACTTTTCTATAAACCTGTAACTGCTCTAAGAAATACAGTCTATTAATTACAAAAAGTAAAATAGGGCTTCCCTGGTGGCGGAGTGGTTGAGAGTCCTCCTGCCGATGCAGGGGACGCAGGTTCGTGCCCCGGTCCGGGAGATCCCACGTGCCGCGGAGCAGCTGGGCCCGTGAGCCATGGCCGCTGAGCCTGCGCGTCCGGAGCCTGTGCTCCGCAATGGGAGAGGCCACAACAGTGAGAGGCCCGCGTACCGAAAAAAAAATAAAATAAAACAAAAGACCAAAGGCTGACTTCCAGGGATGTCTATATTTTAGATAGTAGCCAAGGGAAGAAGAATCAGATTCTTAAGAACACCTTGAAAATTCTTCAGACATAAAGAATTGCCGTTGTAAACACTCCACTTGCAAGGTGAGATAACAGCCTCAAATCTACTGGGTTCATTTTTCAATGTTACATTGTTAAGGAAATGAAACACTGCAGAAGATCACAACTGTCCTTCAAATGACAAAGCCAGCTTTTCAAGCCCTGCTTTTGAGATTATACATATATAATATATATATACACATAAACTTTAGCATCTTCATTCCTAAGTAAATGAAAGAAGAAAATACTTCTCCATACCTCTGTCCCCCACACGCTCCTTCACCCACTCAGTGGCCGCAGCGATGCTCTCAGTCTTGGTGACGTCCAGGATCACCGTCTCCAATCTGTCTGATGTCTGGTTCCTCAGCTGCTCGGCCCCCTGCTCCGTCAGACACGCAGCCAGAACCCTCAAGCCTCGCAGGTGCAGCTGCCTGGCCAGCAGGTTCCCGAAGCCCGAGTCACAGCCCGTGATGAAGACGAACTTGTCCTGGAGGTGGCTCACCACCTGCCTCTCCCGGTACCAGCGCAGGAGGTAGTACAGGCCCACGAGGACCGCCAGGTACAGCCACATGGTGAGGGGACCTCCTTCGAAAGAAAAAGAAGAGGGACTTCCCTGGTGGCGCAGTGGCTAAGAATCTGCCTGCCAAGGCAGGGACATGGGTTTAAGCCCTGGTCCAGGAAGATCCCACATGCTGCAGAGCAACTAAGCCTGTGCACCACAACTACTGAGCCTGCGTGCCACAGCTACTGAAGCCCGCGCGCCTAGAGCCCGTACTCTGCAACAAGAGAAGCCGCTGCAATGAGAAGCCTGCGCACTGCAATCAAGAGTAGCCCTCTCTTGCCGCAACTAGAGAAAGCCCGCGTGCAGAAACGAAGACCCAACGCACCCAAAAATAAATAATTTTTTTAAAAAAGAAAAGAAAAAGAGCTTTCATTTTATTCCTTCCTTTTTTCTTTAACTAGTATTTACTGAGTATTGACTATGTGCCAGGCATTGCACTAAGTGCTGGGACTCTGTATTAACTAATACTTGGACCTACCCTCTAGCCACAGTCTAGAGGGGGGAGTCAGGGAAGTAACCAAACAAATGCACTGCAATGTGGTAGGTGCCAAACAGAAGTAGATACGGTCTAATGAGACTATAAAGGAGGGTGACCCACTGCCTGCAAAGTTAGAAACAGATTCACAGAGGCAGTGATTTTGGAAATACTTCCAACAAAATAGTTAAGAGTTCAAAAAGTGGACAAGGTGGGTGGTGGGGGTGGGGGTGGGGGTGTGATGAACTGGGGGATTGGGATTGACACATATACACTAATATGTATGAAATGGATAACTAATAAGAACCTGCTGTATAAAAAAATAAATAAAATTCTAAAAAAAAAAAAAGTGGACAAGGATAAAAGGACATTCCAGGCAGCAATAGTGTGTACATGAATGGAGTGGTGAGCAGCATAAAACTTCCTGATACCTGTGAGAAGTTCAGATGATGCAGAGAGCACACGGAGGAAGACATGGAAGATAAGGTAGTGAAGGGCCAGACTAGGAAGGGTCCTGTGGGTCACACTAAGGAATCTGGAGGTTATCTTATAGGCAACAAGGGTGTGCCATTAGAAGGTATTAAACTGAAGACTAATGTCCAGATTTAGCTTTAGAAAGATCTGTCTCACAGTGGGAGTGGAGGATGGATTAAACAGGGAGGGGTGTGATGAAGGCAAAGAGATTAGTTAAGAGACCCAGAAGTTTGGGTGAGACATTGAAGCCAAAGCAGTTTGTAAATATAGACCAATCAGGTGCATTATTGAAATGAGTGTTCAGAGATGCCTACCTTTCTATATGTAGTTCTAGAGAAACATCCACCATTTGGGGCAATCTATAGTTGTTGGCTGAACTAACATATGACTCATAAAGTCATAGGTAGAGGTCAAAGATGGGTGTGGGCCCACTAGGACATCATAAGGCCTACACAATGCCTACCTTAGCTTGGCTTTAAGGTCCTCCCAGTGCTCTGGCCCTTGATTTCCTTCTTAGCTTTCTCTTTTACCACACCTCTTTTGCACCCTACTCTTTAGTCATAACAAGCACCCTGCAGTACTCCACACAGTACAGGCTTTTCATGCCTCAGCATACAACTCTCTCTACAATTCCTTCTTTCCCAGCTCTCATCCACTTGACAAATAATACTCATCTGTTAAGCCTCCACTGAACCATCATTTTCATTCAACAAACATCAATTCAACATCTACTATGAGTCAGACATGATGTTAGGCACTGATACACACAAGTGAACAAAACAAGGTTCCATTATTCATTGAATTCACAGTCTAAGTGTAAAGACTGACAAGAAAACAATGCAATATACAGTGGTCCCTTGGTAGCCACAGAGGACTGGTTACAGGACCCTTCAGATACCAAAATCTGAAGATGTTTACATCCCTTATGTAAAATGGCATAGTATTTGCATATAACCTATGAACATCCTCCTGTACACTTTTTTTTTTTAACATCTCTATTGGGGTATAATTGCTTTATATTGGTGTTTTAGCCGTACACTTTAAATCATCTCTAGATTACTTATGATACTTAATTCAATCTAAGTGCTATGGAATAGTTGTAAACACAATGTAAATGCTATGTATAGATAATTAGTTATAAAAACAATGTAAATGCTATGTAAATAGTTGCTGGCATGCAGCAAATTCAAGTTTTGCCTTTTGGAACTTTCTGGAAATTTTTTTTCTAATATTTTTGATCTGTGGATGGTTGAATCTGCAGGTGCAAAACTCGTAGATATGGAGGGCCAACCACAATAGAAGTAAGGGCAGGATGCTGTTGGAGCATACAGGAGAGGCTTCCCAGCCAGTCCAGGGAGATCTGAGAAGTTTCCTAGTGAGAGTAAAATATAACTTGAGATCTAAAGCATAATAAAATAAAAACAAAAGCAGCTAATGCTTGTATAGCACTTGCTGTGTATCAGGCCCTGTTCTAAGCATTTCACATATATTAACTTATTGAATTCTCACAACAGCCCCATAAGGCAGGTCCTGTCAATATCCCTGTGTGTCGGTTCAGATGCCAAGACAGAACTAGACATGCAAGGGACTCACTGAGGGAAACAACTTATAGAGAATAAAGGGGGAAAGTGCAGGAATAGGTGCCAATACATGTCTGACACCTCTGAAAGAAGAGAGAGAAGAAAGAAGGAATTAAAAGGAAGAAACTTTAACTACAGTTCAGCCCTGAGAAAGTCTCAGCTAGGCTGATGAGGGTCCTGAGCAAAGATTGCCAGTAGAGTCCCACATTGGGCTGAACTGGTTAGAACTTTCAGTCCCACCTCCAGGGAGAGGAGAGGGGCTGGAGATTGAGTTTAATCACTAATGGCTAATGATTTAAATCAATTATGCCTAAGTAATGAAGCCTCATCAAAACCCAAAAGAACAGGGTTCAGAGAGCTTCCAGGTGAACATATAGAGATTCAGGGAAAGTGGTGTACTTGGAGAGGGCATGGAAGCTCTGCACCCTTTCCCCATAACTTGCCCTAAGCATCTCTTCCACCTGGCTGCTCCTGAGTTGTATGCTTTTTCAATAAACTAGTAAACCGATAAGTAAAATGTTTCTGTGAGTTCTGTTAGCCACTCTAGCAAATTAATCGAACCCAAGGATGGGGTCGTTGGATCCTCCAATCTATAGCCAGTCCGTCAGAAGCACAGATGATAATCTGGGCTTGCAACTGGTGTCTGAAGTGAGGGGTGAAGAGGGTAGTCTTGTAGGACTGAACCCTTGACCTGTGGAATCTGATGCTGTCTCCTGGTAGTTAGTGTCAGAACTGAGTTGAATTGTGGGACATCTAGCTGGTGTTGCAGAGAATTGCTTGTTGTAATTGGGTCCAGAACTGTTAAGGGTATAGGGGAATAAAATTAGAGGAGGCAGTGAAGGGGAGAAAACAGTGGATAGAGACATTTAATACTCCCTCCCTCCTCTTCTCTTTCTCTCCTTTTCCCCCTCCCCCCACCTCCCTATTCTCTCCCCTCCCCCAAGCTTTCTGCTCTCTCCAATCTGAGAGCTCTGTGTTCTCTAGCCAGCTGCCTCTGTTCTGCCCAACTGTCATTCTCTGGTGCACTGCAGTAACAGAGCTTCATCCTCCTTGTTTACTGACTAAAAGGGTAATTTCCTGATGCCAGTCAAAGATGAAAATCCATTTCCCCCATTAGGAAGAAGCTTGGAACCCACAGCCTCTCTAGGTATTACTACTATTCAACCATCACAGAGCAAGAAGACTAAACCTGCAGAAGAAATATGCCAGGCCAGGCAGAATCCCAAAACGTGAGCCAAAAGTGAACATTAATCAAATACCTGCAGATGCCTTGACTATTTCAAATATCTATATCCCTTGACCTGACCATTGTCTGAGGTTCTGTCCTGTATTTCTAATTTCCTTAAGTACTCTCCAGCCAGCTGTGTAGCCAGAAACTCAATATATCCGAGATAGAACACATCATATTTTCTCCTAAAACTGTTTCTCCTCCAGTATTCCCAATTTCTATTTGTATTACTTTTCAGTCTTAAGGCTCTGACACTTCCTCTTCATTGCCCCATGCATGCCCTCGGAGACGAGGATGTAGAGTCTAGCTCTCTAGTATCTGGAGCACCTGTCCCCTCCCCTTCATTCCTATGGCCACATCCATTGTTCAAGCCTTCAACATTCAGTACCTCTTGCTCGGCCTATCACAGAAGCCTTCTCACCATCCCCACAGCGTCAGTCCCTTCCCCTCTCCTCCACTTGGTGCTGTCTGGTTAATTTTCCTAAAGCACAGCTCTGGTGATGTGACTACCTGAAAAGCATCCAACCTACTAAATAAAATCTAAATCATCTTAATCCATGATTGGGCCTCAACCTTATCTCCCACTCCTCCCACTCACATGACCTATGTTCCATCCAAACCAAACAGCCTGCTGCTCTCCATTTATTCATGCCCTGCTCTTTCCACGCTCCAGATCTGTGGTCTCACCATTCCCTTTGCCTGAAATGCCCTTCTTGCTTATCTATGCATGTCAGTAGACTACCTGTCCTGCAAGACTCAGCAAATCATACTTCCTCCATATAAAGCCATCTCTGAATTATCAACAGCAGGTCTGCTCTCCCATAACAATCTATTCATACCTCTCCTGTGTAGCTCATATCTCCAACTGGACTGGTACTCCTGGCGTAGTTCTGTGACCGATTCATCTTTATACACAGCACCTACTTCAGGGCTTTTGTCCAGTATATAGTTGAACTGAATAAACAGTTACCACTTCTGGAAGAGCCTGTTTGTTTTTAATATATATTCAGAAAACGGTGCCACTGTACCCAATTGATCAACTATGGTTGTACATCACCATTTTATTTGCTGCATTATTTTTCTTTTTCTTGAAAGTAGCAACTACAATATAATACATAGTAAGTGTTTCTACACATTTTTTCCTTCTCTACAGATATTTAGAAAGTGTCTAACTTCACGAAGACACAGAGAAGCAAGTGTAAACCAAGACTGTGCCCCCTCACCCTGACCATTCCGCCTGGAACCTGGTACATCCTCACTCATCAT